TATGAGTGTGGAGGTGGGCCGCCTCTTATGAGAACAAGGGTTGTGTTTTCTAGAGTGCTCATGAAAATCTAGGTATGGGTGCATGGCCAAAACACACCAAACTGTGAGAACCAGTTGTTTTGGAGGGTAAGACGTGTGTTGTAAGTGCATGTAGCCATCTAGGTTACACTCAAGGAATTTGGTTAAAGACTTAGTTTCACTAAATTTTAGTAGCACATGCCTTATAAGCATTAGGTGTCAATTCGATCCCAAAAGACATCATCACTAATTTGGTTAAAGACTTATTTGCTTTTTGTCTGCTTTTGGAGGTGCTTAAGTCTCACATGGATTAGGAAGAGCACTCCAATTGGGTTTATCTTATACCTTGTGCTTTTGGGTTGTGTCTTTGAGGCATGTGGAGAAAGTACATTTGGACCATCACATGCACGCCTACACCCAACTGGGTTGACACACGCACATGCCCTCCCGCCACGCCGTGTTGTGTTGTGTTGTGTTGCATGCGTAGGTCCTTGGCCCTTACTTAATGAGCATTTTTTTTTGTGTTTTTAAGTACATYGAAAGTTGCCTTTTTGTGTGTGGTACTTTGCTTTCTCCTACTATCGGCTTTTCCCTCTCTCTGTTGAACGTATTGGGCATACATAATAATCTAGTTCATCGCTTTGGGTTGTGAGACCACACAACACCAAGGCTGAGAGCTATTGTATCATGGAGGCCGATCATTGGGATCTTTTTGCACCAACAAAAATATTCCAAGAGGTAGCGAAATCAGTTTTAAGGAGAGCGGACATTTGCCACGAATTAACTATACTGATAAGTTTTCCATCTATTTCTTATTAGTTGCTACATATTTTTTCCTATAGTTCAAATTTCCTTGGATTTTTGGTTTCATTACTATTATAGCCATATTACATTTTTATTTTTCTAACAGGCTACATTTGGCATTCCTTATTATAATGACTTATCTCATTTTTGTAGTTAAAATAACTCTATGAACACTAAGTTTTTAACAACTAAAGGAGGACAATTCCTTAAAATAACGAATGCCAAATACAATCTTTAGTCAGGAAGTTTACTTCTCTTAAATCTTTGTATAGAAACCCAAACTTAACTATTTGTGAACATATAATGGCTATGAGGGCAACAATCTTTAGTGATAGGTCATTTTGGTGGGGTAGTCCTCCCCTATGATTGAATGAGTTTTTCATTTCTCAAAAAAAAAAAGCATAAATTACTAAAACCTCTCTTGAAGTTTCTAGTTGTTGCTACATGTCATGAAGTTTGGTAATTGCAATCATCTCCCCTAAACTTCCAGACGTAGTTGTAAGTAACCCTCTCTATTCGAATCCTCTAAATAGAGGCATGAAAATGTTCAAAATACCCATTTAGTTCCTTTTGGCCAAAATGTTTATTTTTCAAAATTTTTCTTCATATGAATTGCTACCCAAATCCTTCTAACATCTTTCTAAAATTGATTTATTTTTCAAATTTGTCCTTCATATCAATCACTCGAAGCTAAAGTTGCAACTTTAAATTCTCTCTTTTTTTTGTTGTTCATAAAGTTTGTATTATTTTTTTTTCTATTGAAACTAGCCTCAATGATAATTTCATGGGTATTTTGAACATTTTTGTGCATCTTGTTAGATTATTATAAGGGTCAATTTGCAACTATGTTAGAAAGTTCAGGAGAGGTGATTGACCATTTGAAAGAAACTCAGTTAGTGTGTTTGGATGAATTATTCCAGCGATGGTGCAATTTCGAATCTCTGCTATTATCATCTCTATGAGAAAAGAATTGTGTAATTACTTGAGATTTTTTATATGATGTTGGATTGTTCACTTAAAAAAAAATAACAATTCCGGTGTCGGTGTCAGGTATGAGTAATAAAAAAAAAAAACTAAGAATAGGAAAGGTTTCAGGAATTTCTTACCCATTATAAAAAAAGAGAAATGGACGAATCATCCATTGTCCAAATACCCTGATTTTATAGTTCCAATTCTACCCCTCTTTGATTTTTTATTTCTAATTTATCCCCTCTTAAAATGACTGAAGCGAATGAGACAAATAGATTTTGGGCATCCTACCCCTCCTTGATTTTTTATTTCCAATTCTATCCCCTCTCCCCTCTTAAAATGACTGAAGTGAATGGGACAAATAGATTTTGGGCATCCTAGCCCTCCCTGATTTCTTATTTCCAATCATATCCCCTATTAAAATGCCTGAAGTGATGGGGACAAGTAGATTTTGGGCAAACACCCTCATTTCTTCAATATGATGCTCCTAATTTTTATTTTAATTAAATAATTAGTTTAAATGGAAATTATATTATAATGTTTTTAAATGTAAACAAATTCTCTCAAAAAGAAAATTGAACAAAAAAATAATCTCTTAAACAGAAAGAATATGTAAATGCTTACTCATTATTTATGTATACCCCATATGCATTTTATATGTAAATTTATTTCAATTTTTTGTAACTTTTAAGCATTTTTTACATGGAAATAATAATAACAAATTTAAAAACTAATTATTCCAGTAATAAACTACCAAGAGCATCTCAGTTTATTTTCACAAACAAGCTAATTGCCACTCTTTCTAGACCTAACAAAAACAAATAATCAAAGATTGCTTACACCATTTATAACTATTAGCTCAGCTCAGAGAGAGAGAGAGAAAGACATGTATTTGGAGAAATGGATGAAGTTGTGGAGAGAAAGAAGAGCAGAGCCAATACCCAATACCCAATACTCAAAATCCACTCCCTATGACCCAATTCATAAAAAGACTGAATTCAAAAATCACTCTTCCCCCGACTTTTGCAAATATATCAACTTTTCCTAACATAAGGCTGATATACATTATATATACCCAATTTGCACCCAGAATAGATCTTGTTTATTTATCCCTTTGCTTAGCCAATGCATTTATCATTGCATTGGCTATTCTTGCTACCCAATTAAAACTACAATGCAAATCCCTTTAGAGGCTTTATCTCCCTCATGATGCTCCAGTATTGTGATTTCACTAAGCTATCACTTCCCAGCTAGCCCAACAGCAAGACAATATCAGCTCAACTAATAAATGATAGATTTATGAACAAATTGAAAYAAAAAATGACACAAAATAACTTATAACAACTGGAGTGTTTAATGATTATATCACTTTTTACCAGTTAATGATTTTATCACCTCTAATATTCTTTCCTTGTTATGTTTCTGGTCTGTTTTTTCCAATAAAGATTTATAATTTATCATCACAGAATGTGGAACTTGAACATCTAGCCCTCCCTCCCATCACTCAACAACTAAAATTACACTCATCATATGCCAATTTAAAACTGTTGGATTAAAATATCATGAAAATTAGTATGAACTAAAATATCATGAAAACTGAATTTTGGATTAAAGCATGTTTAAACTTTAGATCTCTGCACTCTAGATTGTTTAGTTAATGTATTGTTTTAAGTTTTTTTGAATGAAATTTATTTATACACTACTTTTTTTATGCTATTAGTCCAAATTGGCCAATTTTTTGGAGCAAAAGTAAAGCATAGAAAGTAGAGAACCATGGAGCTGAAATAAAATATCATGATATTTTGAATTAAAGTTAGTATGAACTAAAATTATCATGAAAACTACATTTTGAATTAAACTTAAGCTCAAAATTGTGCTATATCTTGAGATTTTCTTAACTTAATTGAGTCCTCGTAATGTTATCTAATGTTGGTCATTCCTCGATTTCATTTCTTTTCCCCTTTAGATATATTATCTATTAGATTAAGCCCATACAAACATGGGTTAGAAATAAATCCTATAAACAGAGCAGATATGTCAGTCTATAGAGGGCACTTATAACTCTAATGATGAATCTCGTTAGCAACCATTCCCTTTTTGCAATGTTAATACTAACCTTTAATTATTGAAAAGTTTGGACTCATCTCTTTCATGCTTTTGGCCCCATGTGACAGTGGATCATCTGGTTTCTGCATATTGAACACAATGTATATAATCTAGGCTCTTTAACCCTTTGCTCTAGAATGGTGGCAACACAAAATTTTCAATAAAAATACATTGAAGTTTCTTTTTAATTCCATAAAAATACATTGAAGTTTTTGCATATCACACAATTGTCTTGTTTTCATTTTCTTTCCCAGATACAAGTTAAACATTCACATGGTTCATACTAGTTATTGTAATTACCTACACGTGGTAGTTTCTTAACCTTTTGTTAATTTATTTGCCTCATTGTGCATATACAACTACAGTCACAAACTAAATATAGATGCATCAATTGCGGTACCTGTTTATACTTTTTGCATACTTTTATATATTCACATTTACATTATATATTAAGTGGAATCATTAATCATGTTTTAAGTTAATTCTGTTTTCGTAACCTTATCAGCCATGTTTAATTAAGATTAAAGAAATTGAAGTTTAGTTTCATTTTAGGTCAAAGCTTCTTGATACTAACACAGCCAATCAAAAATCAACCTAAGTGACTACACCCAATTTAGTAAATTTTATATCTGGTTATGATTAATCATTCATTTAAAATTTTCCGTTCATCAAACGGACCATTCTACTAGTACCAAAAAAAAGTGCGTTGGCGCTCGACTGGGATGAAAATGATCACCGGTAAATAACAGCCAAACACTACCGTTTGCCGTTGAAAAAGATTGATGAAAAAAGCAAAACCGAACGTGCGGGCCCAAGCAGATCTTATTTCCAAACAGACGATGGATGACGGTCACCAACAACACGTTACACAAACCGCGGAAAATGTGGGGCCAAAAGGAGGGCTGTGGAGATCTTTGACTCCCCGTCGTACCACGTGTCAAATTGGTTGTGGTTAGTAGCTTCTAGAAACTAGAAGGGATCCTCTTTCGCCCTCGACCGTGCTGCTTCCTCCGTTCCTGAGAATCTCCTCCCTCGCCTGTATAAAAGGGAGGGTTTCTCTTCCGCCGCTCGTTTTTTTCTGCTTTCTCTCTCTCTCTCTCTCTCTGCATTCTTCGAACTTTCCCTCGTTTTTCCACAGTTTCGAGGAGAGAGATCTCGCGTTTTCGCGATCTTTMTTTTCTTCAGGTACTTTTCATTATTCCTGCAATTTTGCTCTCCAGATCTGATTTATCTTTTGCAAAATGTAGATCAGGCTGAACAGCCTATCATTTTTCTTTTGAATTGTTTTTTTTTTCTTATTGCAATTTTGTGGTTTAAGATGAGGGTACAATCCGTGGTTCTTTGGAATTTCTCTCCTAAAAATTTGATCTTGTCGTTGATAACGAGGTTGGAGAAGAAGCTTCTGTTTTATTTGATCTTCGTTACCAATTTGATATGCTTTGAATGGTTAGTTGCTTAGAAAATTATCGTGTTTGGATTTTTTTCTTTTTCGTTTCTTTCTAGTTACCTTTTTGATGATATGTGTTGCTAATTTTGGATTTTCTTTTCTATCATACTATTTAGATCAATATTATTAGGAGTTTTTCCCGGGCTCAGTTTGGAAGGAGTATAAATGCAAATACGTAGAGTGCAAATACATACAAGATAATACAAAGTGCAAGGTTTTCCACTTTACATATTTGAATTTGTACTCCTTTCAAACTGAGTTCTAGGAATTCCTTATAAATTTTTGTCATTCCAATCATCTGGATTTTGTTTGGTATATGAACCATATGGATAATGCAAACAGTAAAAAAAGAAAGACAATGCACCAACAATAAGATACAGAACCTTAAACTGATCGACCTACCGTGGATTATCCAGTTGAATGTGTATTGAGATTTTGTTTTTGACCTTGTTTGTGTTCAGCTTATGTCTGTTATTGAAACCATCATTTGTCTGAATATGGTTTAAACAGATTTTCTTGATATAGCTCCAGCAGTCTCAGCATTTCTAACTACTAAACTTGTATCTTGGGCATCTAAGAGATGGCTGAGGTATGATCTCATTTTATTGTTCCTCACTTTTTTTCTTATTCCTTCTTTGTTCTGTTAATTTCTCTCTGTTTTATGAGTATTTACACTTTCATACTTAAAATATGTATTTTTTTTAAATAAAAAACTGTGTGCTTTGGAATCATATTCCCGTTAACTCACAACCACCAAAATGCAACAGGATGGTCACAAAGTGTCTTTGAATGTTTATGATTTAAGCCAAGGGCTTGCTCGTCAGCTCTCCAGTACATTCTTAGGGAAAGCGATTGATGGCATTTGGTGAGGTTACTTGTGATTTGGATGCTATGCTAGATGATAACTGCTTGTCGTAAAGTTTTACATACTTGATATAATGGAGTATGGATGCCTAACTCATATATGCTTTTCTTTCACCCAAGGTGTAGTGGGTCAATGAAACACAAATCTTAGGACATACATGTAGAAACACAAAAGGATATGGGCTGAAAGTGCATCTTGTATGGACTTTGAAAAATGTAGTGGAATGGGGATGACGATGTCATAGTAACCTATAAGGAAACTGCGATTTTTATGTCAGGAGAAAAGTGCCAAATACATTTTCTCGTCATGGTTGCTAAGTTGCTTGAACTTTGGGATCTAAATTGAGACCTCTACATGTAATAGGATTTTGTTTCAAGTATTGAGATATTAAGATCATGAATTCAGTCATTTCTTTTGGCTGGAAAAAGCTTAGTTACAAAATTTTTTATTGTTTCTCATGCTAAGTGCTTTTTTTCACTGAAATCAAAGTTATGACTTTGGGAAGAAGGCTTGACAACAGTGATCATGTTTCTTAACAGGAACATTGATTTTAGGTTCTAGACATTGCCTGACATGACTTATAAGTGAAAATGGCAACAACCATATGGAGATTTATAGGGATTAGGGACACAAAAAATCCTTACTCGCTAATCAATCTACCTAATAAAATAACCAARAAGAAAGCACAAATTATCTTTTAAGTTGTTTCTAGAATATTCAACACTGGTGTCTTCTATTTGCTTTCAAGAGTGGGATATAGATGTAAGGTGGGCTGAGAGGTCCATTGGATTAAATGAGGGGATTGACCCTAAGGGTAAAGGCCTGGGGCCTAAAATAGATGGCTGGGCTTGGGGAATTGGGCAGAACTGCAGAACACAATTGACTCTATTTTTCAAATTAAGTATGGATATTTGCATGGGGCTGTTTTAAGATATTAAGCCAACTTAAGCAAATGAAGAATAAATGAGGAAAGATTGTCTATACTATTTGAGCAAAGTGACTTTCCTACTTTTATGAAGCTGGTTTATCTTTATCTACGAGGATGAACCAGGTTTCTCTTTTGCTTTTTATTGTCCTTAAGCAATAAGCAATCGAAAACAAGAAAAGAAGGTCAAATTTATAATTGTGTACACATATTTGGAGACAATGAATTGGGGTAATCCATAATCCACATCTTTTCTCTGAAGCAACTCCCTCTCTCCATTCTAACTCTCTCATGTGTGTGCATGGGTACAAAGTCTTGGACTCATTCTATGTACCAAAATATGGTTGCGTACATCTACTTTGTTTATGATGCCTTGTTTTGTATTTTGGTTGCATACATCTACTTTGTTACAAGTAGTTATTGTTCAACATGCCAAGCCTCTTGGCAATAATTAAATAAAATGATGGGACGCTATATGAGCCAGTAATGGAATCATTGAATCTCTCTCTCTCTCTCTCTCTCTCTCTCTCTCTCCCCCCCCCTCTATGTCCCCTCTGTTCATTTAAAAGACGGGAAATAATAACCTCTAATTACTTCTGAGAATGGAAAACTGGAACCCAAACCATTTACAGAAGTTAAACAAAAATATTAGATAGCATCACAGATATATTATGTAAGACATGTTCACTACCATTAAACAGAACTCTGATAAGGGAAACCGTTGAAGCTCTGAGTGGGTATGCAGTAGTTGAAGCATATCTGGATTTGCTAGGAGCCTAGGACATGGAGTCAACTTATGGGATGTGCTTATAGAAGAGAGTTTTATATTTAGCAGTGTAGTTTGCAGTCCAAAATGACCAGCATGGCCTGATCACTCTGATGGGAAGCTAGTTTAAGCCCAATAAGTCTGTCTGGTGGTTAAAACAGGGAAAAGTCTGCCTTGTTGTGAAACTGAACCTTTTTGGGCATTTAATTAATTAATTAGTTGAAACATTTAGGCGATGTCAAATTAGCTGTTGTAGTGTTGTAGACTAGGGAAGTGACTGCAACAATGTACACCTTTTCTGAATATAGTTGATATTTTTTCTTCGTTTTTTTCCTTTTTGAAAAATGGCACTTTCATTTAGAATCAAAGGTTTTACCAAAAGAAAAAATTAGAATCTAAGGTTGGCTGGGCGGGTGGGTTGGGATATACATGAGATGATGTACAAAAATTCCACATAGCTACAAAACAGCAATTACAGTGGCAACACACTAGTACTTTACCAAAAACAATCTCTGTCCACCCCTGGTTTTGCTAAAGAATCAGCCAACACATTACTGATAAAAAAAATAATAAGCCAACACATTTAACTCTTTTGGAACTCATCTGACAGAGCAAGAAAGATTAGAGAGATCACAGGCTTCATTGAGCAAATGGGCCATCTATTTTCTTCAAATTTGATCTTTTGTTCTACAAAGGAAATTGAAAATTTTGTGGCATTGTAAGAAAGAAGAAAAAGCTGTTGTATTGTTGTAGACTAGGAAAGTGACTGCAACAACGTACACTGATTTTGCTAAAGAATCAGATCATCCAAAGCATTTAACTCTATTGGAACCCATTTGACAGAGCAAGAAAGAAGATTAGAGATATCACAGACTTCATTAAGCAAATGGGTCATCTTTTTTACTTCGAAGTTGATCTTTTGTTCTACAAAAAATTTGAAAATTTTGTGGCATTGTAAGGAAAGCTATCTTCTGGAGTCTGTGAAAGGAATGCAAGAGCATTTGAGAACAAAGAAACATTTTCACTGATAGAAATCATCACAGTGAGAGTAGCACATTGGGCCTTTATGTGTGAACAATTCACAGGTTCTTCATGTGTGAACAATTCACAGGTTCTTCATGTGTGAACAATTCAAAGATTTCAAAATGGGCGATTTATTGATTAGCTGGCAGATGGTAGCTGGCTTTTCTTCTAGAAGACATCAGTAGTCTGAGATGGGGGGCACAAAATTAAATTTTGGTGACTGCATCCTAGGTAATCATGGTGCTTTTGGTATGTGAGTGGTGAGAGATAATATTAGCATCAATTCAGCTTCTTGAGGCTGCTGGGACATAGGAACTCTCCTAGAGCTGAATTGTTAGGCTTTCATTCAAGGCATAAATTTTGTATCCATGGAAGGCTGTACTAACCTGATTGTTGGGGGAAACTGTCAAGTTGTTATTTCTTTGAGATCAGAACATWAGATGCTGAGGATATACAGGTTTCTAGTCAGAGAAGTGAAGGAAATTGGTAGCCAGCCTGAATTAGTTATTCAGGTGGGTCTGTAGATTTGCCAATTACCTAGAAGATTTTTTAGCAAAATCAGGGTCATGCAAGAAAATCTGATTTGGGGATGTCCCGACTCCTGAGCCAGGGATTGATTTGTAAAACTATTATAATAAACATTGTTATGGTCAACTTAGTGATGTTTCAAATTTGTTTTCTGCTATTTGAATTTGGATGGCAAGGAGATGTGGTTGTAAACAGCTAAGCAACTAGTATAAAAATGAAAACTTTAGTGGGGCCTATTATTATAATAAGTATGGTTTGGGGATGTCCTGAACCTGGGATTGATTTGTAGAGCTATTATTAATAAACACGTGTTAAGTATGGCCAACCTAGTGCTGTTTTATATTTATTTCCTGCTATTTGGTTATTTGGATATCAAGGAAATGTTGTTTGGGGCTTGGAGCATCAGCTAAGCAGCTAGTATAGATATGAAAGTTTTAGTAGGTCAATTATCCAGCCTTGTAGATTGACATGCATGTGTATAATCTTTTTGGGTCAATGCACGTGCATGCCACCCTTAAGTTATGGGAGAATTCAGACCAAAAGGCTAAAGGCATAGTTGAGGTGTAATGGCCCAAAAAGGTGAGTCGTAAGCCTAAAAAATTAAGAAAAAACTTAATTAAAGTTTATGAATAATAAAAACAACATGTAAAATACCAAATTAGAAAGATTAAGGTACAAATATCCATAAAATAAAAGTTTATAAGCAATAAGTTCTTGTTATACATTAAATAAAATAATAACTAATCAACTAACAATTATAAACACTTACATTTCATGTTTCAAAATGAAGGCTGGACTAATCAACTAATAATTATTCACATGACCAATTTAGTAGGAAGGAAACAATTTAGTTGATCTGATCAATGAAGAAAAAAAAAGAAACAAAAAATCAGTAATAAGAAAATAAGTCCATTAGGAAAAGAAATGATAAAAATAACAAGCTTGGGATGTTAGATTTAGACTAATAAGAAAAACAAATCCCATTTGATTTATCCAAGAGAAACTAAGAACTTGATTAACCCTTTTTTGCATTGAACTCCTGTAAAACATTAAGAGAAACTAATAGAACTTGAATGTGTGTGCTTCACCTCAAGCTTTAAGCTTTTTAAAACAATGATTCTGACAAGTTGAGTTGGAGTCTTCTAATTGTGGTTAAAGAGAAATGGTTTTACATACCTTAATTCATAGTTTTCTAGATTTTCTCTCGTAAACAAGTTACAGTCCATATTGATAAAAAAAAACAAGTTACAGTCCTTACAATAATGTAATTACTAATTGAGTTGGAGTCTTCTTCTAATTGTTGTTGAAGGGAAATGACTCTACATACCTTAATTCATAGTTTTCTAGAWTTTCTCTCGTAAACAAGTTACGGTCCTTACAATAATGTAACTACTAATTGAGTTGGAGTCTTTTAATTGTGGTTAAAGGGAAATGACTATACATACCTTAATTCGTAGTTTTCTAGATTTTCTCTTGTTAACAAGTTACAGTCCTTACAATAATTAAGCTACCATATGACCTGGAAGCATGTTTGTTTTTTTTTGGGGGGGTAGAATGTGAAAGCATGTTATTAACTCTACATGTGTTTTATCTGATCTGTAAGCTTTCAAGGAAATTGGTTTCTCATGTTGTTGGCTGCTTAAACAGGCACACAGGCATAGTAGTATATGGTAATGAATATTACTTTGGAGGAGGGATCCAAAACTCTCCAGTTGGAACAACACCATATGGGACTCCAATTCGGGTGGTGGAGTTGGGCGTGACTCATGTGCCCAAGGATCTCTTTGAGCAGTATTTACAGGATATCAGTCCTCGATACACAGCTGAAACCTACAGTTTGCTGACACATAACTGCAATAACTTCAGCAATGAGGTTGCCCAATTTTTAGTGGGTGCTTCTATTCCTGACTACATCCTGCAGCTTCCTAATGAGGTTATGAGCAGCCCAATGGGTGTTCTTATATGTGAGTTTTTCATCCATATTTCTTGTTTAATTAGATTGCATATTAATCCTTTTAATATGATTCTTGGAAATTCTGTCTGGTTATAGGTTATGTACAAAATTCCTGGCATTTTCTTTTATGCTTCTGTTACTACCGTTGTCTGTGTTTGCTATTAGAAGAATATAGCTTTAGAGGCTATATATTTAATAGCTGACCATTTAGGCCAGTGATCAGACTGTCTTAAACTGGGATGGGGCTGTACTGGTTTAGTACGGTGAAAGATTATTGCATACAACTGTCATTATTCAGGCTTGTCACTGCATGAATTCTTGGTTGTTTTGACCAAGCTTACCTGTTGTATGAATTTGGAACACTACGATCCAATTCCTAACATGGGTAAGACAAGATATTTTATCTGGTTGAGTTAGGTGTGGTTGGATGATTTGTCATCAATTAGGCTCCTGTGATCTTGAACTCTTTGGAAAGAAGAGAACCAATTTTTTGCTCTGCTTTGACATTTACTCTTTTTTTTTTTGATCATCAACACTTTCATTAATTCATCAGTAGAAAATTTACAAGTGGAAGACAAACACAGTTATCTTCCAAGAGTCACAAAGAACTTCAAGAAAGGAAAGAAGAAAATACAAAGATACAAGGACACTAACATTACAACTTAGCCCAAAACAAGGAATCCCTTTCTGCCCCTTGTTTTGCTAAACCGTCAGCTAGGGAATTAGCTGATCTCTTAATCCAACATGTCTTAACTTCCATCTCCCGCACCAGCCATTTGAATTTCCTCTTCTCATTGTTATACTTCCAAAGATCATTTTGTTCTTTAGTCAGCCACCCTATCACCACCTCTGAATCCCCTTCAATTATAAGTTTCTTGATGTTCAATTCCTTTGCTTTTCGGGCTCCTTCCATAATTGCACATATCTCAGCTCTAAGGGAGTCACCCACTCCAATTGGGYCTGAGAACATAGCAGAGATGGCCCCATTTTCATCTCTAAAAACACGCCCGATCCCTGATTGTCCCGGGTTCCCCTACTGCATCCATCAAAGTTTAATTTCAAGAATCCACTAGGTGGGGGGGTCCAAGCCACACTCAGTACTGACTTGGTCTTCGTGCAACTTGCAATTTCACCCCACTTCCTCAACATGTCATCCACAGTGTAATCWGTGAATATTTYCAGAGATTTYAGCCACTGTACCGCCCTAAACTGTATGATAGTCCTCAAATCTGTTGTCCCTCTCTGAGTTTCTGAGAATATCCTGGAGTTCCTTTATTCCCACAGTGTCTAACATACTGCAACCCTTAGTCCTCTCCACATTGTCCTTACCCTTTTTAACCGCCACTTGAAGGAGGGGGCGAAAAGGCCTTGCATGTCTGATGGGGGATTCCAGCTGCATCCAAAYAAGGAGAAAGCCCAATCCCACAACGACCTTGCGAAGTGGCAGGCACCATTAGGTGAAAACCAGTCTTCCCATCTGCTTTGCACAGAACACACCACTGAGGTGACAAGCAAGTATTGGGTCTCTTCTTTTGGAGTAGATCACCAGTGTTGATTCTTTCCA